TGTCACTAGAATTCCATTTTCCTTATCAAAAACCGGGCGTGTCGTCGGTTGGCAAATATGGTGGATTTGCCTTGGCGATTCGGCGGGATGCGGTTTATAAAAAATATAATTCAAATTACAAACTTAAATCAAGAGAAAAAAAAGGCGAAGGATACCGTATGTTATTTAAGCATCTTCGAAGCTTTCTTTCTGATGAGCAATTGGTAGCACAACATGCTATATCAGACGACTATCCATTAGTTCATTACAAGCATCTGTGGAAGCTACAATGATCAAATACAATACATAAAATTAATATTATTCAGGGTTTACAATATATTGAAAATGTTTACTATTGAAAAGTATTTAGATTGAAAAGTGAGCTGATGCAAGTTTGCAACATGACCAGAAAAAAAAAAAAAAAAAAAAAGATTGAAAAGTGAATTGGAATCCAACTTTATTTTGGATTACTGACATCTTGAATTCCCTTCGAGCAATAATGTAATACTATATTCTAAGGTATAGAATAACAAGCAAACTTAAGTAAAAAAGATTTTTTAGAATCTTATAAAACATGATTTAATAGCGGTGCGGGTCGGTGCGGTTTGAGAGAAAAATAGAAACCGTATGGCGGGGGGCGGGTTGATAAAAGTGTCACTAGAATTTGCCATTTTTCTTACCAAAAACCGGCGGTTCGATTGGAAAATAATAACGAATTTGCCTTGGCGGTGTGGCTCGGTGCGGTTTTGGCGGTTTCGGCGGTTTCGACGGTATTATGCACACCCCTAACGTCGATGTCGAATCAATGACGATGAGCCACTCCAGAATCCACTAAAGCTTCAGGCCAAATTCCACGGAATCCACCGAAGAACAACTCCCTCATTTTTTAATAAAATAAACTAAACAAAGCCTTTGATATAATCCACTCAATTCATGATTAATCTCTCATAGATATCAAAGGAATACAAGCAAAGAAGCTCTAGATAAAAACCCTAATACCCAAGAACAAGATCTGGAAGCAGTACCCTAAAATCGGACTGAAACACATATTTATAGAAAACAGATCCGCGATCTCCGTTCTAGCGTAAGAATGGTCGCACGAGCGGATCTACGCTCGAGCGCATGAATGACCGCTCGAGCGGAAAAAAAATAACGCCTAGTACTTTTGTAGGCGATTGAAACTTCTGAAAGGTTGTGATCTCTGCTCGAGCAGACAAACAACTTCGATTACAATTTTACTTTTTGCTTCGGGGCGCTACCTTTCAACCCTGCCTAGGCGCTGCCCCGAACCCGCCTAGGGGCATTGCCCCCTAGACCCCCGCGAGCTGACTAAGCAGCTTGATCCCCGACATAGAAACATGATAGGTTTAAGATCACAAACTCCTCTGCATAGGCACAATTCGGGTTGAATTCGCATCTAAAATTCATAACCTCACTGAAATAAAAAAAGCGAATACAATTACAACTAAAAGGAGTTTTGTCAAAGGGGATTGCTAAGAATAAAAACCTAACAGTCTTGAAAACCATGAGGGACACATGGTTTTGGACATGTGGTACACTTGGTGTGGCCTAACCAATGTTGTGAAACCTGGACCGGACCGGCCAGTCGAACCGGTTGGACCGGGAACCGGGCCTGGCTCCGGTCCAGTCAACCCTCCAGAACTGGACTATGAGCAAAACCGGCCTGGAAATTGAAAACCGCCAGAACCGGCGATTGAACCGGGATAATCGATGAACCGGACAAGGTTTTGGCAGATTAGACTGGCGTTTTTTTTTTTTTTATATATTTTCTCTTTCTTTTCTTTCTTTCTTTCTTATATATTTATGTTATAAATATATTTTAAAATTTTGACTAAAAATTCTTACTTCAAGAGTCTCCTCTCATAAGGAAGAGTCTCATTGGAAGTTGGAGAAGATTATGAATGTCTATTCCTATTTATAGGAAAAAAAATTTCAAAAAGAACCTACAAAATTCTATGTGGGATTCAATCAAATTATTTGAAACATATTGATGGGAGGGAGAGTTGAAAATTTCATTTCCCTCCAAAATTAAACCTAACATTGAATCAATTTGTTTGGAGGGAATGCTTAAAAATTTTAATTTCTTTAAAACAAGTGACTTTCTTTTTATCAATTATGACTTTATTAAATATTATTAATAAATATTATACAACAATTTTTATTTTTATTTGAGTATTTATATATATTTTTATTTATTTATAATTTTTAATTATATTTTTTAATTATATAATCGACCGGTTTGACCCGACGGTTGAACCGGTGACCCGTCCACCCGGTCTCTTTTCCGGTTCGCTCACCGGTCCGGTTTTCAAAACATTGGGCCTAACCATATGGTACACATGGTTTGCCATATATGCCTATTTAATAGCTTATACTCAACATTGTGTAGACATACCAAAAACAATAAGTTCTCTCTCTATTCATCTATCTTGAAATTATTATCTTGAAAACTTAAGAATTTGGAGTGTGGATAAATATTGAGAAACTCTAGTAACTTCTCAATTGATAGGAGGTTTTTTAAACGATACTCGTAATTCATACATCCAATCCAAATCATTTCCGCATCAAATAATATGATTACCCATATATTTTTCCTTCATTAATTACATAGAACTAAGCCATGAATGCTTTATTACTAGAACTAGTAGCAAAACACTTTCCAAGTCACATATAATGCCTACTTGTTTGACCTTAACTAATCAACTAGACTAAGATAAGTTTTGAACAATTATACCACAAAAGATGATGTAAATGCTAAATGCTAAATGCTTTGTCGAGGACCAATTCCATTTGTATAAAAAATATAGATATATAGTGAAGCAAGAAGTCCCAATAATTTTTTAATTTGTGCCCTTACCAGTCATCTTCATATTGGGGGAAGGAAAAAAAAAAAAATTCAAAGGTTTGAGGGTAAAATAATTAATAAAGATAAAAAAAATATTAAAATAATTAATAAAATAAAATATCACATTCTATATATCAATCAAAAACTAATTAAAATAGTCAATATGCACGTATATCCAGGGCAAACACAAGCACACAAAAGCATCAATTGATGACTACATATATACAAATGGAATAACCAACTAAATCTAACTTAGGTCTCGTTTGGCAAGAGGCTATTTTAGCCAATTAGCCAAAAAGTTACTAAATTAGTCAAAAAGCCAACAACCCATACCAAAAAGTCAAAGATTCTCTTTTCTCTCTACTTTTTGCACATCTTTTCGTAATTAGCCAAAAAGTCATCCCAAACATTCAAATTTTTTTTACCTACCTTTTTAGCCAAATAGTCAAAAAATTACTAAATTAATCTGTTCCCAAACGAGGCCTTAGTTCGCCATTATAACTCTCCTAAAGACTTGGTCTCAATGGAGGTTATGAGTTCAATTTTCTCTAAGAAGATAGTTGAATTAGGAAACAAGCATTTGATGCTTTATATAAATAAGGAGGTTAACTCGTATAAGTGCTAATTTAATAATTAATAATTGACTTTTACTGATCAAAATATATATATGAATGGAAGTTCCTCATCATCACAAACAGGTTAAACACGTTTATAGCATGCCTCGATCAATCTACGCTAACAGTACTGATGTATGAAAAGGTGTAAGAATTACCCATTCATCAAACAGCTAGTCTCTAGACAACAAATAGGCAAAAAAATATGTTTATAACATGCTTTGATGCATCATATATATATATATATATATATTATTAAAAATAATATTTTTCTTATATTAGGCGACATATTTTAAGGATTTTTTTTTTTAAAAGTCACATCAACATGTATACATATATAGACTCTATTTGACAAATATTTATTTTTTATATATTTTTTATGATAAATTGAGATAATTCACAAACCCAATATCAATTTTGCACTTCATGTTTCTCTTCTTAATTCTTTCAAGGGTATTAAGGTTTTTTTTAATGCTAAATTGTCTCTAACAATCACATTAATTTTGCGTTTCATTATTCTATACCCAATACCAATTCTATATTATGGATTTATCATTTAAATTTTATAGTGATTATATATATGAATTATACTTTCTTATATTATTTTATATAATCACAATTCATAGGAAAAAAAAATCTGCACAACAATGATATTCTCAAGGAACCTATAAAATTTGGATTTACTGCTTGAGTTACTTTTTTAATTGTTAAACAGTGACTTCTTTTATGTTTTGACATCATATTACAAATAATTAATCACTTCACACACTGAGATGTATATATTATTTGGATGTTTTCTTCTTCTTTTTTTTCTTTTTGAGTTTAGATGTTGTTATGTGATTCTTTCTTAGTGAGTCAATGTTGAATTTCTTTTATATAGTTGATATTTTAATTTAATTAAGAGTGTTTATTTTACAATTTTATAATTTAATATATAAATATATACATATATATCATATAAAATCATTATATGATAATTCAATTACAACATATTTATATTTAATTTTTTGATATCTTTTATATAATTTCTATTTTTACATATTTTTATTTTCCAGATAAATATAAAGGAAAATTAAATAGTTAGAATTACTTTTAATTTTATATTACTAATTCTTCTTCTAATTTAACTATTATTTTTAATATCAAAATGAGTATTTATTTTACTATTTTATAATTTAATATATATCATATAAAATTATTATATGGTAATTATAATTTTATAATGCAATAGAATTAAAAGTATCAAAATACACAAATAGTTTAACTAAAATTAATAATATAATTATTCAAGTAACAATTTTATAGAACAATAGCTCTAATATTATCAAAATAATAATTAAAATCATACTTTTTAAATTAAAATTAAAATTATTCTTTTATAACACATTTTACCATCAATTTTTTTTATTTTTTATTTTTTTAAAAGTAACACTGATGCAAGGAAGCGTTTACAAACAGAATTACGTTTGCATCAACTAACTAAAATAAGGAAATACTTTTATATATATCGTTAAAATAGATAGCAAGGCATAAGATTTTACTTTCAAAAAGAACTAGCATCATAAACAAACTTCTTTAGCCTCTGAGTTATCCTCGAAGCTCCTCCACATTCCATTCCAGAAGACTCTCCAACCTACACAAAATACACTACAAAATAAATTTGCAAATTGCTGTATATAATATATACCTTAATTTCATAATCACAAACTCAAAACAAACATTAAAAAAAAAAATTTAAAAATTAAATACATAAATTGTGAAAGGACTGCTACCTTGGAGTGAATTGTGTGGAAAACTGTATCATCAACAACAGAAAAGTTGGCATTAACAACCTCAGCTCCCTCCTCATGAAGCACACGGATCGTCTCATTGAACATGAACTGACAATCCAACCCAGTTATCAAAACCACCTCTAGAGCCGAACCCTTTTCATGGATCTCAATCTGTGGTGATCTCAACCCCACACTTGTTGTGGTTGCATTGTTAGGCTTTTCAACTCCCATTAAGCTATCTTTCTTCTCCTTCATTTTCTCCAATTCTTCTTCCAACTTCTTGATATAGTTTGCTGCTTCTTCTAGTTGATCCGGCAGCGGCATTGCTTCCTGCCAACCCCCATCAAAAGTTCATTATTTAGAGTTTTGTATGAGAGTGTGTGTATGCATATATATCTACTAGTTGTTGACACACACGATACGTGTGCAATTTAAATAAATAAAAATAAAATAAAATAATTATTATATATTGTGCAGTAATTTCATTTGATATAAATTTAAGGTTCAAGTCTCATCCTCTCATCTATTTAATTTTTTTTAAAATAAAAAAGTAAATCCGTGACAACATAAAAAACAAAGGCTTTAGGATACCAGAAGAGATGTTTACTTTATATATGGTATATAGATACAAATCTTTGCAGTACTACAACAATACTACGTATCTAAAAAAGTATGCAGACTATAAAATACGTGAATCAAATTCATTTTTAATGTAACTCAAATCTATATCAAATTTAAATCTATACAATGGATTCAAATTTTAGGCGTGTTTCTGGATACTTGCATTTCTGATACAGGTATAAAAGTGAGACAGAACGAGATTTAAACACCATGGTTTCAAATACTATGCATGTTTCTGGATACATTACATTTCTGATATAGATATAGAAGTAAGAGAGAGAGAGAGACGCCATGGATGTAGATTCGGGATATATTTCTAAACATTTCTGATACAGATGTAGAAGTAAGAGAAAGAAAGAGATTTAAACACCATGGATTCAAATTCTAGACATATTTCTTGATACATTTCATTTGTGTGTGTGTGTGTGTGTGTGTGAGAGAGAGAGAGAGAGAGAGAGAGAGAGAACCCTAGAGGGTGGATGAGGCACAAGAGAATGGAGCTTGGAGTAGAGGGACTTCAAATGATTTCTTCTATTTTTCTCTATAGTCTTCCTGTCAGTTCTGGATGAACTAGGGTTGTTCTGCTCCATCAATGTTGCCCTAAAACAAACATTAGTGATTTCTTGGAGGCTTTTATCAGTAGAGAAAAAGTTGAATGGGCATTACAAAACAAAAGTACAAAAGAATTAAAAAAAAAAAAGAAAGGGGGCAAATTACCTACACCCCTTAGCTAAATTACAGATTCTTTCCCCAGATTTTAAAAATTACATCTCGTTCCATTACAATTAACACTGTTAACGGAAATAATAAATTGAATAAAATACTCTTAACTGTATTATGTAGAGAAATGATGATATTTAGCTGATACATCATGTCAAGTCAGTCAATAATTACTCAGTACTTATTTTAGAAATTTTTTTAAAATAGTTAAAAATTAATTTGATTAAGAAATAAAAAAATAATAAATAATTATCATTTTATATAATTTTATTTTTGAGAGGTTAGAAATAATTTTTACAAATTAAAAAAAAGAAAGGGGGCAAATTACTTACGCCCCTTAGCTAAATTACAGATTCTTCCTTCAGATTTCAAAAATCACATCTCGTCCCATTATAATTAACGCCGTTAACGAAAATAATAAATTGACTAAAATACTCCTAACTGTATTATGTAGAGAAATGATGATATTTGGCTGATACATCATGTTAAGTAAGTCAATAATTACTTAGTACTTATTTTAGAAATTTTTTTAAAACAATTAAAAATTAATTTGATTAAGAAATAAAAAAATAATAAATAATTATCATTTTATATAATTTTATTTTGAGAGGTTAGAAATAATTTTTACAAATTAAAAAGTTTTTCATTTTTATTTTTATTAAATTAGTTTCTATTTTTTCAAAAAAAAATCTAAATTTTTTTTGGTAACGTTTGGAAAAAAAATCAAAAAAATATTTTTTTTATTTTTTCTTTAAAATTATTTATTATTTATCTCAAAAAAAATTATTTTTATTTTTGAAGAAAAATATTATTTTTATTTTTATTTTTGCAAGAAAAATATTTTGTTATTTTTTAAGTATTAATCAAATAATTTATTATGATTTAAATACATATAGACGATTCAAAAAATTTTAAATCAAGTTAGGGATGATATCATCCATCAAGATATATTTGTGATGTCAGTATGATTTTGTCAACAATTCTTAACGTGTACTTCACTCACGGCAAAAGATAAATTATTATGTAAATATAAAATTTAAGAACAGAATGTAATTTTTGAAACTTGAGGAAAAATTTATAATTTAACCAACTTCAAGAGATGTAAGTAATTTGCCCCCAAAAAAAAAGGTCTTTGATTTGAGAGGGTGTCGCTGGGAGGGTACTTTTTGTGGCGCGCGCACATGGACCATCTTTGACCCAATTGATTTTTAAGAAACAAATTTAAAAAAAAAAATTGAACGAACTGTACCAATATCGGCTTCAACAACCTGTTATTTTGACTTGTCAAAAACAAACAAAGAAAGAAACCTGAATATTATTATTCTAATTTAAATGCGTGCCTGAAGAGTCCCAAAAAATTGAGATTGTCATTTGTATGGTTTTTTTGATCAAGAATATATATCTATAAATATAAGAAGGGAGTTTTTTTGATAAATCTATTTTTTAAGAGATTTATTCCATTCAACCCATATTCTTTTTCACTATTCCATTAGGTCCAATTTGAGATAAGAAGACCAAAATATCCTTTTCATCTACAAAATATTCTATTTAGTTTACATTATTTTCTTATGTTTCAATAAGTCCTATGGGTGACATAATTATCAAAATACCCTTAATGTGAATGTTTACACCATCAATATAAAATGTTTATATTGTCAATGTGTAGGGGCCCGGCTCATGTCGATCCTCGTGGGTGCCCGAAAAAATTCGAGTCGGACCGGGCCGGCCCACAAGCCAAAAAAATAGGCCTGACCCCGCCCGTTGATAATATGAATATTCACATTCACAAGTTAACATTCACATTGATAAGAGTGTAAAATTGGCCTGCGGTCCGTGGGCGGCTCGAAACTAGCCCGTCGCACGGGGCGGGTCCGGGCCAGCCCGTTCACAATATGAATATTCACATTGATATATTAACATTAACATTAACATTGACAAGAGTGTAAAATTGGCCTATGACCCGTGGGCAGCCCGAAGCCCGGGCCCGGGTCGGGTACGGTCTGGTTTGTGTTGGCTTATTTTTCATATGAAGAAAAATATCATAAATGCAAGCGTGCTACCAATTATTGAAAAATCTTTACAGATTAAATTCAAGCCAATTATCAAACGATTGTGTTAACGGTTCTTTTGTCTCAATGAAAAGTATTTCAAAATTGTCAAGTGTAGAGAAAAGAAAAATTAAAAGAAGAATGAGGGAAACGGAGAAAGATGATTGAGTGAACAATCAAACTAATCATTAATTTCCCTCCATTCGTGGCTGGTGGTGGTGATGGTGGCGGTAGTAAGGAGTGGGTAGTGGTGGCGAGTGGGTGGCAGGTGAGTGACGGTGGCGGGTGGTGGGTGAGTGGGTAGGGGTAGTGGTGGTGGTGGGTGGTAGGTGGTGGTGGTAGGTGGGTGGCGGATGGTGGGTGGTGGTGGTGGTGGGTGAATGGGTGACGATGGCGGCTGGTAGGTGGTAGCAAGTGGGTGGTGGTGATGGTGGTGGTAGTGATGGTGGTGGGTAGTGGTGGCAGGTGGGTGGCGGGTGGGTGGTAGGTGATGGTGGTGGGTGGTGGTAGCAGTGGGTGGTGGTGGCGGGTGAGTGGCAGATGGCTGGTGGTGGTGAGTGGATGGTGGTGGTAAGTGAGTGGTGAGTGGTGGTGGCAAGTAGGTAGCGAGTGGTGGTGGCAGGCGGTGGATGGTAGTGGTGGGTGGTGGTGGTGGTGGCGAGGGATGAGTGGTGGTGGCGAGTGGGTGGGAGGTGGGTGGTGGCAAGTGGGGGTGGGTGGTGGTGGCGGAAGACGGTGGTGAAAAATGGTGGTGGGTGGTGGCTAGTGTTGGGTGGTAAAAAAAAAGTGAAAACTCAAAATAGAAACACATTTTTTGTATTTTTATTTTTTGGCCAAATTTATAAACTGAGATCACTGATTTATAAATCAAAAATTTTACCAAACAAGTTTTTATTTGAGTTTTTTAAATTTTTGTAAGTGTAAATAGAAAATTGAAAACGTAAGTGTTACCAAACGGCACCTAAAAATTACAACTATCGTTTGTTATAAATTTTAATTTAACACAATACTCAGGAAAAAAAAATGTTCTCCAATTCAATAATAAATTATTAAAATTATTTATTGAAAAATATTTCTCATATCACTAAAAACTCTTAATTGACTTAATGATTTATTTATTAACAAAATAGTTAACTGAAAAATATTTTTTATCATTAAAAATTGTCAATTTACTTAATAATTTATTTATTAATAAAATTGATTATTTGTTATACAAGTATGATTTATGTATTAATAAAATTAGTCATTTGTGTGTATATATATATATATATGTGTATTTTCTTCTGCTTGTTTATTAGTTCAGTGTATTATCTTAGTATTTTTTTTAGATGAGAGAATTATTTTAGTACTTGTTTTATATTTATGTGTTAAGAAAAGTTACACACCATAATTTTTTTTTAATTAAAGTCTCATAAATTCATACAAAATGTTATGGTAATAGAATTGGAGTTTACACCATTAAGTGTATAACAAATCAAAAAATGATACATAGCATGCCACTTAATTCTATTATATATCTAATGATTTACGGATAAAGCACCAATAAATCCCAAAATGTGATCTTGTGAACTGTTTAGTCTTCACTTTTTTCTTATGAACCCAAAGGTCCCATTAAAATGAAAATTACACAAAAGGTCGTAAATTACATGTTTGCGTTTAATTTTCTAAGGATAAAAGTGGGTTTCGCTAAATGTAAAATTATACATCTGGACAATTCGCATTATAGAGGTTTTGCATTTTTCCTCCTAGGACAAATTCCACATTACGAAAAAAAATATAACACTCTAATAACGCAACTCTCTAATGTAGAAGTGAGCAGCGGGTATACCGATCCGCCAAAACCGACCGAACTGAACCGATCCGCCGCATTTTGGACGGATGCGTGATGACGAGCGGACAATTGCGGATTGATTTTCTCCAATCCGCCAATTTGGCGGACGGATGACGGATTTGAGGTTCCTTTGGCCGCAACCGAACCGCCAAACCGCGAGTACCCTTAATAATTTATAAGATTTTGTGTTTTCAATTTGTTTAAATATTTTGTTTATGTTTTCAATTGAAAAAGAGTTTAAATATTCTGTTGAAAAAAAATTTTCGACTTGAATATATTTTTTGATTTGAAAAAAATAAACGTATTATTTATTTATATTTTTTGGTTTTTAAATCTAACTCTAAAAGTAATAAATAGAAAATATGAAATATGCTGGTTAATTTTTGTTTTCAAAAACATATATAAATGTAACAATACAGAGACATACAATCTCTATTACTGCTGTGTTCATGGTTTTGGTGGTTTGAATTGTTTTTATATTTTAAGAACCATATATTATAATACTTTATATGGATAATGCATGCAGTGATTGTATTATGTGAATGAGGCATGCAGTGATTGTGATATTCTAAAGTTTCAAACTTTCTTTCTTTAGATGAGGCATGCAGTAATTGTAATACTTTTTTAAGTCATTGACTGTAATACTTTTTTTTTTTTTTTTGAGGAAGTGCACAAGTTGAACTATGTTGAAAATTTATAAAATTTTAAACCGCAAAACCGATTCGCATCCATTCGCCAAACCGCCAATCCGCTCAGTCCACATCCGTCAGATTGGCGGACTGATGCGGATTGATTTTCTTCAATACGCCAATCTGGCGGACGAATGGCGGATTGTATGTTCCGTAGCCGCAACCGACCCGCGCCCACCCCTACTCTAATGTAACACTAACATAATATTCAATGTAAAAAAAGCTCGTTAGTATATTTTTTTTAAACGTAACATTTAAATGTAATACTTCCAAAAAAACTCATTAGTATATTTTTTCCAAATGTAACACTCCAATGTAACAAAAAAAAAAAAAAAAAAAAAAAACTCA